ACCAGAAGAGGGCACCAGATCTCATAACGGATTGTTGTGAGCCACCATGTGGTTGCTGGGAATTGAACTCAGGACCTCTGGAAGAGCAGTCAGTGTTCTTAACCTCTGAGCCATCTCTCCAGCCCTAGCCTGTGTCTTTTTATAGGCGAATTAAGACAATTAATATTGAGGGATATTAGTGAGCATTGATTGTTCATTCTTGTTTGTTTTGGATCTGTTGGTGGTGGTGTAATTGAGTGTAGATTTCCACCCCTTTTTCCTTTTGGCTGTTGGTAAAGTGGGATTATCTGTTGCCTATGTTTTTCTGGTTGTAGTTAACTTACTTGGGTTGGAGTTTTCCTTCCAGAACTTTCTGTAGGGCTGGATTAGTGGATATATATTGTTTAAATCTGGTTTTGTCATGGAATATCTTGTTTTCTCCAACTATATTGACTGAAAGCTTTGCTGGGTATAGTAGTCTGGGTTGGCATCCATGCTCCCTTATTGTTTGCCAGATATCTATTCCAGGACCTTCTTGCTTTCAGAGTTCCATGGAGACATCAGGTGTAATTCTGATAGGTTTGCCTTTATATGTTACTTGACCTTTTTTTCTTAGCTGCTCTTAATATTCTTTCTTTATTTGTATGTTTGGGGTTTTGATTATGTGGTTAGGGGACTTTTTGTGGTCCACTCTATTTGGTATTCTGTAAGCTTCTTGTACTTTCATTGGCATGTCTTTCTTTAGGTTGGGAAATTTTTCTTCTATGGTTTTGTTGAATATGTTTTCTGTACCTTTGAATTGGGCTTCTTCACCTTCTTCTATACCTATTATTCTTAGGTTTGGTCTTTTCACGGTGCCCCATATTTCCTCAATATTTTGTGTTAGGGACTTGTTGGATTTAAAATTTTCTTTGGTCAAAAAAAAAAAAAAGATTTTCTTTGGTCAATGGATCTTTTCTCCTAGTGTATCTTCAATGCCTGAGATTCTCTCTTCCACCTCTTGTATTCTGTTGGTTATGCTTGGATCTGTAGTTCCTGATCATTTACCCAACTTTTCTATTTACAGCATTTCCTCAGTTTGTGTTTTCTTTATTGTCTCTATTTCAGTTTTCAGGACTTGTACTGTTTGAATTGTTTCTTGCAATTTTTGGTTTGTCTTTTCCTCCATTTCTTGATTTCCATTGTTTTGTTTGTTTTTTCTTCCATCTCTTTAAAGGATTTTCCCATTTCCTCTTTTAGGGTCTCTATCATCTTCATGAAGTTGTTTTATGGTCATTCTCTTCTGCTTCATCTGCATCGGGATGTTCAGGTCTTGCTGGTGTAGAGTCCCTAGACTCTGGTGGTGTTGTTTTTTCTGTTGTTGGATGTGTTCTTATATTGTTGTCTTCCTATCCCTTCTTCCAGTGGGTGCAGGTGAGGTCTCTTTGTCTCTGGTGGGTAGGGGTCTAAGGTTCCTTTCTGGTGGGTGCAAGCAGGTCCAATACTCTGATGGGTTTCAAGGTGGGTGCAGGTGGGTCTGAGACACTTGCTACTTTCCCCTGAGTGCAGGTGGGACTAGCACAGGGATGTCAGCAGGCTCTGGGTAGCTTGGCCTGCTGGGGGCGAGTCAACCTGCCTGCAGTCCCCAGGCCAGGAAATCCCAAAGAGGGCAAGCAGAAGTTGGGCCTGAGAAAGGGGCCCAAGCTCACCTCTTCCTTGAGTGGGGGTAGGACTTCTTGCTAGGATTTTTATCTTACTATTTATTCGAGACAGGGTTTTTATGTGTGGCTTTGGCTGTGGTGGAACTCACTCTGTAGACCAGGCTGACCTCAAACTCACACAGATCCACTTGCCTTTGTGCTGGGATTTAAAGCATGTATCACCACTGCCCAGCTATCTAGGTTTATTATTATTATTATCATTATTATTATTAATGAACATACTATTTTAAGATTTTTCTAAAGCCTAATAGAAGCTGAATTCCTAAAATACTGGAAAGTATATGAACTTTAAAGTTGTCTTCAGATCCTGGATCTACCAGTTTTATTTATGTAAATAAGTTAAGTGAGTAAGTAAGTCACTTAATATTCTAAGCCTCAATTTTCTTAGCAAGAAATCGGAATTGTTACTGTTCTCTCACAGTGGAATAATTTTAACAAGATCTACACATGTGAAGTGCCCAACACAGCTATTGTTTTCCATCTTCTGGATATAGACAAGATGTTCTACCTTTGCTAGTTTAATGAAGCCAATGGAGGGAACCTCCATATCAACATGAGGTCTTATTTGCATAAATGAAATACCTGGAATTAAAAAGGAAATCAATTATATTGAATACAGTAAAGAAAATATTTAACTTTTATAGCTTATTATATCTGATATCTTTTTTACTTATCTGGAAGAATTAATGACAGCTATATGAGAAAAAGCTCATATAGCTGCTTTTGCCTTTTTCTTGAGCTATCTTTTTGGATTTCCAACAAGACCCCTAGAAGTTTCCTCCTTCACACTGCCACCAATATTTCTGCTAGGAAATTGAATACCTCTTCCAAAACCTAGCTGCTTTCCTTGTATTGATAATCCACCATTCATGTAATGCCTCGACTTTAAATCTACAAATCACATTAAAGTGCTTACTTTTCTACTCTGTTTGGTTCAAATTATACACAGCCATTTGTAGAATTGTTGCCAGTGCTGAAGAAGGTACCCAGGGGCTTGCCACATGGTAGACAAGTACTCTACTAGTTAGCTACATCTCTAGCCCTTAACTGAGAGATTTTCTCTATCTCCATAGTGTTTCATTTCTCCTGTTCAGATTTCAGATCCTCTTACTGAATCCTTGTCATTAAAAGCAGGCTTTTCCCCCAGATGATTTCCAGCATCCTCTCTTACAAAGTATTTCTTGGGTATTTCAGGTTGGTATTTAGTAATTGAAAACATACATAAATTGGCCAAGAGAACCAGTTGACAGTTCTGAAGTAGTACAGCACACATCTGTATAGTAGCACTTGGATATCAAACCAACCTAAAATACCCAAGAAATAACTTTGTAAAAGAGGATGCTGGACATCAGTGGAAAAAACCGTTTTTTTTTTTCAGGTAAATGTGAATGCTCTTTATTTTGAAAGATAAACCTGGATAAAGTACATCCTTTATCCATCAATATGACTACACCATACGAGTACTCTTTTTAAGTTTTCACTATGCTGCAACTTGGGAAAACCAAAAAGTGACTTCAATTCTCAGAAATAAAGTTGGAGCCACAGTTGAGAGATAATGTTCATCCTGTCCTTTTTCCCCACTGCTCTGCACTGATGAAAAAAAAAAAAAAAAACACTAAAAACATGGCAGAACAAATTATCTTCTAAAAATCTGTCATAATAGATGAAGAGGAAGAGAACTTGGGGCATGAATGAAAGCAATGAGTGTTCCCCACCTTGAAGGAATCTGGCATGTCTGAAAACAACTCAGAAGGCATTCCAGTACATCTTCAGGCCACTGCAGTGCCTTTAGACTGGCCAACAAGTATACTCAGTGCAGAAGTGTCTGAATACTGTCACTGATGAAAAACCGTTTTTTTAATCATTTTTTAATTTGAATTAGAAACAAGATTGTTTTACATGACAATCCCAGTTCCCTCTCCCTCCCCTCCTCCCCTACCCCCCCCACCAACTAAAACCCTACCTATCACATATCCTTTCTTCTATTCTTCCCCTGACTCAACCTTTCTGCTCCCTCATGACCTCTGCATCCTTCTCTTCTTCCCTTATCATTCTTGTAGCTCCCTCCCCTCCCTACCACCCCCACCAACTAAAACCCTACCTATCACATATCCTTTCTTCTATTCTTCCCCTGACTCAACCTTTCTGCTCCCTCATGACCTCTTCATCCTTCTCTTCTTCCCTTATCATTCTTGTAGCTCCCTCCCCCCCTCTTCCGTGCTCTCAGTTTGCTCAGGGGATCTTGACCCTTTCCCCTTCTCCAGGGCACCATGTATGTCTCTCTTAGGGTCCTCCTTGTTTCCTAGCTTCTCTGGCAGTGTGGATTGTAGGCTGGTAATCCTTTACTCTATGTCTAAAATCCACATATGAGTGAGTATATACCATGTTTGTCTAAAGAAAACCGTTTTTAATGACAAAGATGCAATAGAGGATCTTTGAGGAAATAAGCCACTTATTACACTTACCTTTATATCTACCATTAGTGCTTAGTATAGCACTTAAAAGCGCTTCCTAAGATCTTGATAGTAGTCATCTTAACGTAGTATTTCCAAAACCAGAAAGGAACAGTTGACATACTATTTTGCTGAATTGTTACTATATGAGTTGTTGATGTCATACTAAGTGTTTATGTCAAATAACTACTGGGAATTATGTATGTATGTATGTATGTATGTAAAGTTTTCACTAGCTCACTACCATAAGTGTCCAGATTCACTTGAGGTTGTCTTATGGTATATATTATCATTGCTTAAGAAAACTGCAAATGTGGCTTTTTTTCTACTATGAAGCCCTATTTTTGACCTGATCCCCACTTGTAACCTAGTGTCTAACATATCATAGTGTCTGATGATAGACTTTTTCATAAATCCTGTTCTATTTAAAAATTAACTTGTACCTCAAATGGAGTGTGTTTACTTGTTTTCCTTTGTTTTTTTGAGACAGAGTTTCTCTGTGTAACAGCTCTGGCTGTCCTGGAACTCTGTTTGTAGACCAGGCTGGCCTTGAACTCACACAATTTGCCTGCCTCTGTTTCTAAAGGTGTGTGCTGCTGTTGGTGCTGCCACCACTGATGCCACCACCACCAGTTGGCTGAGAGTGTTTAATTTTAAAGGCTTGGGAACATATATATGTGATTATAAATACAAGTTACAAAAACAAATACAATGAAAAGCTTTGTAGAAAACTAAATAATTTTGTCAGGAAAATCAGTTTTAGCAAAGGAGTCTTAAAGTAATATCTTGATCATCTTAGTAAGCATTGATAGTTTGTTTTACATTTATGCTTTATCTTTTCATTAAATTCTTTCACTTGTATTTCTAGGTTAAAACATCAGAATTTTATAGATACTCTCGACAGCTGCGCTATGAAGTTGACCAAGCACTGAGTTACTTCCAGAACATTCACCAACAGCCCCTGATAGACATGAAATCAAGCCGTATTCGTTCTGCCAAACCCCAAACTACAGTATTCCGAGGAATGATTGGACATAGCATGGTTAATAGTAAAATACTTCTTCTAAAGAAACCAAGAGTCTGGTGGGAACTCGAGGGCCCCCAAGTACCTCTACGGCCAGACTGCCTTGCTATTGTCAATAATTTTGTGTTCCTGTTAGGTGGAGAAGAACTAGGCCCAGATGGCGAGTTCCATGCCTCTTCGAAAGTGTTCAGGTATGATCCAAGACAAAATTCTTGGCTGCGCATGGCAGACATGTCTGTACCCCGTTCGGAATTTGCTGTTGGTGTTATTGGGAAGTTTATTTATGCTGTGGCAGGCAGAACAAGAGATGAAACTTTCTACTCAACAGAGAGATATGATATCATTAATGATAAATGGGAATTTGTAGATCCTTATCCAGTCAACAAATATGGACATGAGGGGACAGTGCTCAATAATAAGTTGTTTATCACTGGAGGAATCACTTCATCTTCCACATCTAAACAAGTGTGTGTGTTTGACCCCAGTAAGGAAGGAACCATAGAACAGCGGACCAGAAGAACTCAAGTAGTCACCAACTGCTGGGAGAATAAGAGCAAGATGAATTATGCCAGATGCTTTCACAAGATGATATCTTACAATGGCAAGCTGTATGTCTTCGGTGGTGTCTGTGTGATCTTGAGGGCCTCTTTTGAATCTCAGGGCTGCCCTTCCACAGAGGTGTACAACCCAGATACTGATCAGTGGACCATCTTGGCATCGATGCCAATTGGTAGAAGTGGCCATGGTGTGACTGTACTGGACAAACAGATAATGGTCCTTGGAGGCCTTTGTTATAATGGTCATTACAGTGATTCTATTCTCACCTTTGACCCAGATGAAAATAAGTGGAAAGAAGATGAATACCCTCGGATGCCCTGCAAGCTAGATGGTTTACAAGTATGCAACCTACATTTTCCGGACTATGTACTGGATGAGGTTAGGCGTTGCAACTGATGAAATCTTCCTCCCTGAAAAAGAAAAAAAAAGGCAAATAAAGCATTTGTGATAAAGTAGTTTAAAAGCATAAAGAAAAACCTCACCAGTTTTATTATCAAAGCCATTGGTCTAATATTGTAAGTTGTCATTCTGTGCTAGCATCTTTCTTTTCCTTTCAGTGGCCTCAAACTCATGCAATAAGTTCATTTAAAGCGCTAGCTCTTGAAACTACTTCCAAAAGCAGTTTATACACTGCTCTGCTTACCTGGGAAGTTGATTTTCTGCTTTAAACATTTCTTTTAGATGTTAGTGTAGGATTTGTGCATCTTCTAAGAGAAGACCCAGTAAGTGTCACTGGATGTGATTTCAGTCCCTCTATCTGAACTCTTTGGAGATTCTTTAGTCCACTATATGTTTTGGTTTATTATTTAAAAGTATAAAACTGTTGACCTTTTTGCATGGCTTTTTGCTGAAAGTGCAAACATTTAAATTTTCTACAAAAGTTTTTTATATCAGAACACTATTTCTAAGCTGCCTTCTCTTATCTGCATTGTGTTAGTGAAAGCATATCCATACTCACATACATCCTATAAATATATAAGGCACATCCCTTTTATGCGTGGTTAGGATTCTATATTTTTAAGCTAGTGCACTTGCACATACAGTTCGCCATACTTGTTGAAATTTAGATGTAATGTCTTTAACGTATTAATGTTTTTAGAAAGTTAAAATAACTGGAGTACTCATTCGGTATCAAAGTAGTCTTTCTTCACTCTATACTGGTTCAGTAAAATTTGCACTCATATTTCTGAATCATGTATGGATTAAAAAAGGTAATGTTTTACATTTTGTTTTCAAAGCTAACTATTAATATTTCGTATCAATGTATGTTTTTTTTCTTGTTTGAAAATGTTTTTCTTTGCAGTCTGTTTAATGTTGGTTACCCTGTTTTAGTGATAATCAGAGTGGTCTGTGTCAAGCTCTGACCCTGCAGCATGTAAGCACTTTTAAAGAAAAGTTAGGTAATGCCATACTAAGTAAAATCTCCTTAAAAGTAAGTGCAAGTCCCATTGTTTCTGTTCAGTAAGGCTGTGTAGGTGATGAACAGGTGGCAGCAACTCTTACACAATTTGAGTTCAATTTTGACTGAGAGGTGAGAAATGAGCTATGATGTTACTGGTTATATCTGCTTGATCAGTTTGTACAAAGTATTCAGTGGCACTACAGAGATATGTCAACCCTCCAGGTCTTTTTAGTTTCTGGAAGCTACTAGCATGAAGGATAGTCACCAGAAAGTTTGGAATGACTCTTGAATAGCTATTTTAAAGGCATTTATAATAAATAGTTTAGGCTTAACTGCACATTTCAACTCTTCAAATGCGAAGGAAGAAAATTTAGCTGACAAAATTGAGTAGTCTGTGAGTGGGTCATTCAAATTGATGCCATTTTCTCATGAGCAGTCTGTATCTGATTAAATCTTGCACTGGCATAGCTTGCCAGATCTGTGGATTTTGGTGCAATATTGCAATGCCTTCTATATGGCTGCTGTTATATAAATATTCTAGTTACTTTGTTTTATTTTATTTTTGCTGCTGGCACCATTGAACATAAAATTGAAGTGTGAAATAATGGAAATGTGAAGATTTTGTTTTCTTCTCCCCCTTACCCCATGCCGCGGTTCATAGTGTGAATAAGGCCTGTTTTTTCAAAACTGTAAACCCAGAGGTGTTTGAGTTTTAGAAAGTGTCAGGTACACTTTCTAAAGAAAACCTTTTCTTTTTCTTTTAGGAATCAAAATAGTAGCTTCTTTTGTCTGTGATCCTTCCATTTACATTAAGTAGCCTTTCATTTAGTTCTGATTTCTGAAAATAAAATTTGATATTTGAGTTTTCCTTAGAATGTGGGTAAAGGGTTTTTTTTTTAATTTCAAAAAAAAGTTTAATTATTTTGCTTTTGGAAACTATAAATTAGGTTAGCCATCTAATTTTTTCTAATAGAAGTTTATACGTGTTTCTTTAAAGAAAATAATGTCTTCGTTATTTTTCTTGATATCTTTTGTTGGAAATAACCAAGAAAAGGATATCAGACAGGGTAACCATATCAAAGGCTTTACACTCCAGTGGCAGTTCTTAATTGCTTTGACACAACATCAGTGAATATTCTTGTTCTTCCATTTTGAAGATACAAGGCCAAGGTCAACGATTGTCTCAGAAAATTCATGAAATCGTAACTTGAACTAATTCTGGGTTCAGCTTCACGTAAGTCATGTCTGACTATATTCTTAGCAGTAATCTGTTTTGAGCTTTAAGACTAGTTGCTATTGCTTGGGTTTTGAATGTATGAGGAAACTGTAGTTCTAATTTAGATTATAAATCCACAAATAACTTACATTCCCTTTTAAAATTATGGTTTAATAGCTGCAAGAGATTTATTTTTGTTATACTAAACTATGAAAAATTTTTCATAGAGTTTTCAAGCTTTTCTGTGCTTCATTTGGAACCACTTTGCCTATATGCATTGTATATGAACAAGAGTGTCATCCTGAGAAAAACTCAGTAAGTGGTTTGAAGCTATATGGTTTAACTGTTAGAATCTTTAAATGTGTCATCTTCCACTTTACATTTTAAGTACTAGACTTCACAAAAAATAGCCAATTTTCTTTAATTGCATTTTAGTTGGCACCACTTATTTTCTTACATGTCTTTGACATTCTAAGTTATGATATTAAAGAAAATCCTTGCACTACAGCCTTTTCATAAAATACAAGATTCTCATGTTGAAGGTTTTGTATTAGAAGAAATGCTACTGGTTAAGGTAAAGCATTATAAAATGGTTAACTTTGCTTGATAGCGTTTTCTGTGTTCTCATTGCTCTACCTTGTGTGAGTGTTACTCTAATTGTGAATTACTTACTGAGCCCTTTTCGCATCTTTTTTAAAGCAGCACCTTTGGACACCTCATTCTGGGAAGCTTGCTTGAGTCACAGTAAAGGACACACACACTTGTGTGGGGAAGAAGTGGTAAAATGGAGAGTTTTGTCTTAATTACATGAAACTAAGCTTTAAAATATTTTATAACAAATTATTTGAGCTGCATAATCTAAACATGTCAAACGTTTTGTGGGACTATTTTTATATATGTATATGTGGGTGTAGGTCATAACATTTCAGTTTATAATATAAATCGTTATTTCAGTTTATAAGCTATCTCTCAAAAGAGACTAGCTCTTTTGAGAATACATAATTTAAAAGTTTTAGACTGAAGTAAAACAACATAGACAATAGTGTAAATTAGAAATAATTGAGGGCTATATGGCAGTGAAACTGCTAGTGCCAGTTTTCTTGTTTGCCTACCATGTTTCAGTTTTTGTTTTTGTTGTTTTGTTTTGTTTCGCATTCTGAACATTTTGAGAGACCATACATTTGTTTAATTACATTTAGAGTCGGTTTGGGAATAAATATCTTCTAAAAAGAGATTTATCTTAAAAATTAAAGTCCTAAAAATAGTTTATTGAGAGTTTATTACTTCAAATACCCCATAGGCATGAACTAGAATAGATAATTCATGGAAATCCCATCCTTTCACTATAGCAGTATAACTCCCAATATTATGTGAGTAACATTGAGAATGGTGTAGCTTTGTTCCCTCTTAAAATTCTTGGGTTTGCTTTTGGCTCCATTGGGAACAACCATATTAAAAGTTACTAATCAGTATCTCAGTAAGGGTTGGGTATTTGCTTTCTGAAGGAATGTTCCTAGGAGGTGATCAGAAAAGTTCTTTTCTGCCTACCTTGTATATGCCCTATACTCTTGGGCATACTTTATCTATAGAAAAGTATTTTGACCTTTAGGTACCTTTGGGACCAGTAGTCAAATAATCCTAGGGCCGATATTAAAATCTTAGGATAATTTAAGGTTTGCCTTTTATATCTGTTTTGAAAGCCTTTACATTTTTTTTTTTGGTCAGGTAATTTTTCCCAAGCCGTGAATATAATCTATTCAACATGTTTATGCTATCCATTCTGTTTTTAAATTGAAAAACAAAGTTAAAAGTGTTTATGAAGAAAAGTTTAAATAAAATATTTTTAATCCTTAAAACTATGTCTTTATCTGATTATTTAGTCTTTAATCCTTCATATTCAAGTCACTAATAACTTAATAAATAGTATACTTTGTTATCCTTCAACATGACAAGAAAAGTATGATTTCTACCAGTATATTTTTAACAGAAGATTTGAATGAGAGCATTAAAGCAAAATGATTTATATTCTTCTATGCATTGGAAATGATATAACAAAGCCAAATAATTAAAGGTCCACTAACAAAACTTTTTCAGTTTTAGAAAATAGAACTGCTACAACCAAGAAAAGGCATAAATGGTCCTCAACTTCAGTTGGTAAGCTTTAAGTTTTCTCTGACGTTTCTTTCATTGTTCTTAAAGGTATTCCTTAACTTAGAAAATAGGCAGAAGTCTTAGGTATGTGTGCATGCATACACACATATGTCTTCTTTCACATGAAGTTCTAAGAAACCTCAGCAGGATTCCAAGGGAGCTGACTCAGATCATTTTCCAGCTTTTCTCTCCATCCCTTCCTGCACGGTGTTCCTCTGTCCTTCCTACATTCTTTTATCTTTCAGGGTATTCATTTCCAGCCTCTTGTCTTTCCCTTTCCCTGTCAGTCCACTTAATTTATGAAGCCCACCTCAAACGCTCCTGTTTTGGTTGAAGGAGGTGTCTCCTAATAATCTGGGGCAAGTGCTGTAGGGAGTTAGATGAATGAGAGGTTATAGTTCTTGGGATTTTAGCTCTGCTTTCTGTATATACAGTCTTCCTACATAATCTTAGCCACACGTATAGCTTCCCTTCAAACTTTAGTTCTGCTGTCTAGCAAATCCACATTTCTCAACTCAGAGTTCTAGCCAGCTCCTGAACATTCCTCATGTGTTACATTGGCATAGGAAACTGAACATATTTATCTCCTGTATTAGTTACTTTTTCGTTGCTGTGATCAAATACCATAACCAAAAGCAACTTGTTATTTGGCTTTTGGTTCCAGAGGGATGAGAGTCCATGATAGTAAAGGGCCATGACAGCAAGAAGGGTCGTGGTGGTAGGAGCAGGAAGCTGAGAGTTCACATCTTCAAATGCAAGCCTGAAGTAGAAGAGAGCAAGTTAGAACTAAGATAGACTTTTTACTCTTAAAGCCCACCCCAGAACAATTCCTCCAGCAAGGCCATACCTCCTAAACTTGCCCAAACAGCACCACCAACTGAGAACCAAGTGTCCAAATGCCTGAGACTGGGCGACATATATTTTTCAAAGTACTGCATCCTTTCTTTTCACATCTGGCACACAGTTTTGAGTTCAAGGCAGAAATCTGCATTGTCATTACCCAACGTGTGAGTTGAGTTTTTTTTTTTTTTGAGACAGTCTCACTATGTATCATAGGCTGACCTCAGCCTTCCTACAGTGGGGAATACAGGTCTGCCATCACACTGATCTTTTGCCACTTTCAGCTCTTAGTCACCATCTTAAGCCATACTTGTCTGGTCCAAGCCCTCATGGTTCCCACTAGACTTATGAATTATCTTTCTGATCAGCTTCCACATTAGTTTTATACACTGCTGCCAGAGAAAGAGCTCTCTAAAGCTAAACTGACCCTGAAATTGAACATTCTTCAATTGGCCTTCATCTTGAGAGTAAGGTCCTAACTCACTGGCGTGCCATGCAAACCCATTTGTCTTTCAGACTTGACCTCCCTATTGGGGATGGAACCTTGTACCTGCTAGACAACACTTCTACTGCTGAGCTGCAACCCCCACTCCCTGTTCAGTGTCTTATATCCTATACTATATCGCTATGCAAGCCACATGGCTTTCTAAATAGGCTATGGTTTCTTAACCCTCATTGCCTTTCTACCCACACCCCAAACCCCATCCTCTTTCGGCTCATCCTTTCTTGGCTTTTCATAAACCAGTCTTGGTAACACACATTTTCTTGTTTTAAAACTTCTATCCTTCAGTCTTAATAATAGCACCTTGTGGATACCTACACCTCACCTTTTTTGATATGTGATGATAACTGCCTTCTCCATTATACCCTTAACTGTACACTAAGGACAGATACTGTCCTATTTTGTCTTCCAAGGATCTGACTTAATATCTGGCAAATGGTAAGTCCTCAATAAAAATAGAACCCAGAAAATTGGAGGAGTACCACCACAATGCTCCCTTTGAGGAGGGAGACTTGTATTAGAGAGCTTGTCTGCCAAGATTGACTTCCCTGAGGAATTCCCTCCATTCATTTCTACTACCACTGCTCTCATGTCTGGAAGGCTTATGTGTGTACAGTTATCACAGCTGTCAACAAATGCTTCCCTTGACATCTCAGTATTCTTGATTCAGGCCAAAAATACCAAGTAAAACAGACCAGGGTCCTTGGCATCACATCAGTCTCACAAAATGTGGGGTAAGAAAGTGTTGACTGGTCTCAATAATATTGAGAAACAGTGCATACCATTCTTCTTTCTTATAGAGACATCTTATTAGATTTAGCATTTTAATTACTAAAGGCTCTGAGAAGTTTGCTCGACTCATTCTGATTTTTGTTTAGATTCATATAAACTAAATATTTGATCACAGAATACTCCTAAAAAGTCTAACTAAGGGACTGGAGTCATTGCTCAGTGCTTAAGAACACTTGTTCTTGCAGAGGACTTGGGTTTGATTTCCAGCACCCACATGATGGATCACAGTCATTCGTAACTCCAATTCTAGGTTACACATGCTACACAGATATAGGTGCAAGAAAAATAATCATATGCATAAATTCTTTTAAAAAATTCAAGCTTAGCTGCAGAACTACAAAGAAAATGAGTTAATCTTTAGTGTAGGCACTCTGACTTACAAAGTAGGACTACCCTCTGCAGGCCCATTGGCTAAGATGACACCATGTTGAGAGTTTCACTTCACAAGGAGGGTCTCATCTTCTCCCTCTAGAAGAATTTGTATAATTAATTTGTACAACTTAAAAGAAGTAGGACTTCTGGGATGGCCAAACAAGGAACTCAGCTAATCCTCTCCCCCAAAAGCTGCTACAATGGATGTGTTAAAAATTTAAACCCCCCCATAAAAATTGTATTAGAAGCAAATTCCTAAACCTTTAAATGTTTTGAAAATATTTTTAATGATTGCTTGATGTTCTGAAATATATATGGTAATTTATTTGACCTTGTCCCCAGTAGTACATACTATATTTTAAAGTTCTTTGTTTCAATGCTGGTAAGATGGCTCAGCTGTAAAACACTTGCTGACAATCTCAGTTCAATCCCTGGGTCCCACATGGTGAAAAGAACTAATTACAGAAGTTGTCCTTTTACCTTTACAGGTATAACATGATATGTGTACCATGGCACATGGACACCCCCCACACAAATGTCATAAATTTAAAGTTATTTTTGATTTCTGTCAATACTTACAGCATCCAAACTTCTGAGTATTTCTCTAAAGTAGTTTTCTGAAGATGGAATTTAGAGCATACTACTTTATTTACTTATTTTTGCAGTGCTGGGAATCAAACACAGGGCTTCAGATATAGCAAGTAAGAGTTATATCACTGAACCATATCTTCATGGCCCAGAATGAACTCAAAGTCCCTCATAAATATTGCTGGATTTGGGTCCAGAAAATTATAGAGCATTATATGTATATTAGTATTGTATCTGACTTGACTGCTATATCCTCACTGGAACTGAGTGCTACAGTTCAAAAAGAAATAGATACCAAATAGATGAAATTTGTATTTTAATTCTAATTCTAGTTCCATTCCCTGCCTCTTCTTCCCTCCCTC